ATCGATGAACGAAATATCTAAATTTGTAAATTAAACAAATATTAATTAATAGTATTTAAGATCATAAAACAGAAATATAATAGATATGTTTCAATTAATTTTAATTATTTAGATTCGATTTTTTCTATTCAATTTTTATTCTTTCTTTTTTTATGAATAAATAATAAAATATAAAATATAAAGCAAAAAATAACATGTTTAAGATACATAGATATTGTCTCACAGAAGAACAGAAATATTTATTCATTAAAATTTACATATCTTATATATCTTATTGAAGTCGAAAAAATTAAAATAACCATGAATGAAAAAATCAAGTAATAATTATTTTATATTATATTTTATTTAATTCAAGAAAATTCAAATAATACTTTGTTTTATTAAATTTACTTAACCAATTGAGTTTAACAATTAACACATAAATTGCCAAATTTATTGAAATAAAAAAGAAGTGGAAAACATATATAAAAAGTAACAATAAATTATATATAAATATATCTTAAATCTAACAAAAAAATCATTGAATATAATCATGTGATTAAAATTTATTTTAGGAGAAAAAAGTTTAAATTCACAAATTTAATAATAAGATATTAGGAATTTTTTATGTAACAAAATATTATTGGAATATATTTTAAATTATTGGAATATGTTTTTAAATTAAGAAAAAAAAGTGAACTTAATCTAACAAGTAATTTATAAAATAATAAGATAATTTATATATAAATAAATAAAAATAAATAATTGAAAATCTGTAACTGTGCATCAATGAAAATTAATCTTAGATCATGTATAAATATTTATAAATACGGTTTATGTATAAAAATCCATAATTAAATTGAAATAAATATAATGGCTAATTACATTTATGGCTAAAAAATAATTTAAAATGATATTGTACTACAAGTAGAATATATTTTTATTAGTAGAAAGAATTATAGTTTGATCGAAAGTTTGAATGTATATTTTTTCGAGAATTATAATAATTTGCATTGTTATAAATTCATAATTTTTGAAATATTAACAAAAATTATTAATTATTAGCTTATATATGATTTAAATTATAGAATTTTGCGTATACATTTGTATAAACTTATGATGAGTAACATCTAAAATATAATGAATGAACTAATATTATCATACTCAATATCTATTTATAATGAACTTGGGTATTATATAGATCCTTTTTTTACAGAATATAAAAATATATAACATAATTGAAATTACCACGATAAATATTTATACCAACTATAAAGGCTGATATTACTATCATTGTAATTTTAGTCATTGTAATTTTAATTATACAAAAGAATTTTATTTTTTTATTTCTCAGATCTGAAGAAATCCGAGAAATGGAATGTTCAAAGTTTTTATGAATAGATACTAACATTGATTAATATTAGCTTATCAGAATTGCCGAATGAAAATAATATATTAACATGATATGACGCTTTGTTTTGACTTGGAGGAAGTCTGGTGATGTATCTGCCTATAACATTTCTAATATGATGTCATATGTTCTTTTTCTATGGAAATTTATTAAACAGAAATTGAGCTATTTTTATAATAGAGGAGTGTATAGGATATTGTTCGGTAATTCTGCTGGTTATATTTTTTAAAGGTTATTTTAAATATATTTTAAATTTTTAATGTTAAATATATTAAATGATTATTAGGATATATTTATAAAAAAAATATAGAAGCGGCGATTATAATAATGCACACGATATTATGGACATATACATATAAGCAAAATTCAATGTAACAGCAACAATTTTGATATTAAGAAAATTATGAATTTGCAACAAATGAGATAATATGTTTATATTTATATTTCATATTTGGTTGTAAATTATATTTTAATAATTATTAAAGTAGTAAAATATGTTATATGTTTGTATAAAGAATTTCAAGAACAATAAAAGTGATGTTCTGAAATCTAAGTAAAAAATATTGCTGAATTGAAAAATTTTAATTTTTAATTCATTGCAATATGTTATCTAAATATTTGCATTATTCTTAACATTTTTTTTAATTGAAATATATTATAAGGAAATAATTATAAATTTAATATTATCATCTTAATTAAAATTTAATTTTTTTTTAAATTATAATTTCCATAATATATGTCAAGAAACGAAATGATATTAAAAAGTAAAATAAAAGTTAACAGATAATAAAATAAAATATATATTTTAAACGTAATAATTATTAAATTTCATTTCGTATAATAAGTATTTATATACTATTATTTTGAAAGTAAAAAAACTTTCCATTAAATATCTTCATATGATATCACATAGATGATTTTATCTTTGCCTCATTTATCTCGAGCCATGTATGAATATATAATTTTGACAATGATACAAGTAAATATATAATGTATGTAACAATTCTGATACCAATATTTCTTAAATTAATAATTAAAATCGCAATTTATCACAATATTTGTAGATCACTTAGCAAATTTATATTATTTATATTAATTATTTATATACAAAATATTTTATTTAATTAGTATCAATTTATTATATAGTTTATATATCAATTTTTATAGTTATATATACTGTCAATTTTTATTAGAGATAATAATAGACGCAATATACTATAAAATATATTAGAAATTTAGTAAATTTAATTTTTATTACTATATACTTAAATTTATTATAAAATTAATTTGTTAAATAATTAAGTTATAATAAATTTAAGTAAAGTATATATTCATAATTCAAAAATATAACCAATAATAAATTTATTATTCAAAACTACTGAGAGAATTTCATTTTCTCCTTAGAAATTATCAGACTTCCTTATAAATCACTTCAAACAAAAATAACTAAAAGTAACTAGTGAAATGCTCAAATTAAACGAACGTAAAACTACTTTAAATTATATAGTTCATGTTACGTTGCTCCTAAATATATAGTTGAATAACCTCTTTTATTCCTTTTGAACGTAGCTTTGCCACGTGTATGTATCGTTCTTAGATTTTAAAATAAAGATTAAAAATCGTATTTCATCAAATATTTAGTTATTATTTTTTTACGTATTTATAATCAAAATGCCTCCTAAATTTGATCCTAATGAAATTAAGAAAGGTATATTTTTAATTTTCTATATATATAATGTTAAAAAAAAAACAAAATTTCTTAATACATTTATTTCAATAGTTTATTTGCGATGCGTTGGAGGTGAAGTAGGAGCAACTTCATCTCTAGCTCCGAAAATTGGCCCTCTTGGTTTGGTGAGTTTGTGTTTTATAAATATATATTATTTAAAAATGAAAATTTTTTTTTAATACTTGACTCAACATATAAAATATTATAAAATGTTTTATTTTTATAGTCTCCAAAAAAAGTTGGTGATGATATTGCTAAAGCTACTAGTGACTGGAAGGGTTTGAAAATTACTGTACAATTGACAATTCAGAATAGACAAGCTACAATTTCAGTAGTTCCATCTGCTGCATCATTAATTATTAAATCATTGAAAGAACCTCCAAGAGATCGTAAAAGGCAGAAAAATATCAAACACAATGGAAATTTATCATTTGATGATATTGTTTCTATTGCTCGATCAATGAGACCAAGATCTATGTCAAAATATCTTAGTGGTACTGTTAAGGAAATATTAGGAACTTGTCAATCAGTTGGATGTACAGTTGAAGGTAGACCACCACGAGATCTCATTGAAGAGATTAATGGTGGAAAACTTCAAGTACCAGATGAGTAATATGGTAAGTTAAAGCTCTTAGCTAATATTTTCAACACATTATTATGAATTTAATGAATTTATTATATTGTTAAAATGATAAAAAAATAATTCTGTGATGAAAATATATGCTTTGAGCTTTTGGTAGGGGTTAGCATCCCATCCACCTGATTAGCTGTAATAATCTGCAAGCTATCAGGGATATTGCTACTGAGGAGAAAACCTCAATAAAAAATCATTATTTAATAATTAATTTTTATGTATATTCATCAGAATAATAGATTGAAAAGAAGATATATGTCATTATATTAATAATGATTCCTTTTCTTCATTTAAACACTCGATAGATAAAATAAAATATCCTGATTTAAGTACCAAAAAAATAATTGAATTATTTAAATGAATAATTATATTTATATCATATATATAAATTTATTGATAATAATAATATAAAGTGCTAAATGCATTATAAAATATTTAAATAATTTTATTTTTTAATAAGATGTATATGATATATATATATTAAAATATATTAAGCTGGAATAATTGATAGCACTTGGACAATTTAGGCAAGATATAAAATTTGATAGTTAAAATTTTAATATATATTCTATATATATTATTATATATATTTTTTAATTGTAAAAATTTTACATTTTTACTGTTTCAGATTTTTCATAAGGAGTAAAAATAAAACATTTTTAATATCAAAATGTTATACTTTTATGTATATTCCCTTTTTTAATAAACTAAAAAAATTAAAATTATTTAAATTATGAAAGATGAATATTTAATTAATATTTAATTAATATTTATTTAATTTTATATACATCTAATATAATATATTTATTATTAAATATTAACTAAATATTAGTTTTTTTAAATATATTAATAATAATATTATATAAGTAATATATTGTATAATTATATAGTTTTATTTGCAAATCATATATTAGAAATAATTCTTGTATTAAAAGATTAATATTTATTTTCATTTATATAAAACTTTATAGTTATCATATCAAGTCTAGTTATATTTTTCTTTTATAAATTATTTTCTTTTAACATTTTTATTGCATAAATTAGAATTATATGAAATTTTATTATATAATAAAATTTCAAAACTTATTAATTACTAATGCAATTACTTGATTGTATTATTAAAAAATATATTTATAATTTATAAAATTAAGATACAAAATTGCAAATATAATTAATTTTTTTATATAAATAAAATTTTATCATTCTGTCATATACAAAAAAATATTAAAGATATTCTACATATTGAATTAGTATATTAAGTGTATTTATTTTTAATAAATTTTTGAAGATATATTATAAAAACAAAATTACTTACACATTTTTTTTTATATATGTTTTAATAAAACTAATCGAATGAAAATAATGGAAAAAATTTAATATCATTTTTTCATGATAAAATTAACAATTTATTCTCCTAAGACATATCCTCGTCCCCAATTATGACCACCAAATGTATTTCTAGTATGTTGAGTCTGTGATCTTTGTATAGGTACAGATCCAAACCATCTAATATTACCTCTTTGAGGTGGAAAATAAGATTCAAGAATTTTTGGAGTATTCAAAAGCTCAAATCCACCAAGTTCTTGAGGATATTTAAATTTCAAAAATACATAAAGATGTCCCACTAAAATACCAAAAAGTTCCATCATACCACCTCCAGATATAATAAGATTAAACGCAAACAATACCCATGGAAAATATATTGCTTTAAATGATGTACCTGTTATAGAATAAAAATTGATAGATTAATTAAAAATAAAAAATATTCAAATTTAGTAGTTTTATTTATAAAAAGACTTACCAAACCAGAAATTAACAGTAGCATCTTATTTAACTGACACCAAACATATAATATGCTAAGTACCATAGGATCCATGAGAAAATGAAATTCACCAATAAGTCCTATGATAACGCAGCATATCCAGTTGAATAAGAGTAAGAAACAATAATCTGCTGGTCTTCCATCATATTCCCCACGTTCTAACCTCAGCGAATAATTATATAAGAAATAACAATTAATCAAAAAATGAAAGCCTGTACTTGGATTAAGAGGATAGAAGAAAACACTGGTTGCTGCTCTCCAAATTTCAAAATTGTTTATGAAGCGGTCATTTATAAGTATTAGTGAAGTCGGATTTATTAATCCGAATCTTCCTACTAATGTACAAACTACTGTACATAATAGCCAATATCTTGTGAAAATTGGTAAAGAATTAAACCAATTTCTTACATCCGACATTTTTGTAACTCTTATATTAATATCACAATTAATATATTATCAGATTATGCACATAAGTAAGTACAACTCACTGACAATGTATGACGTGTATTATTTAGTGATTACGTAGATTAGGTTAGAATACAATACATAAAAATAACAAATATGGTGTTGTAAAATATATTCTATTTATTTTTTTGTTTAAATAGTTTAAATAATATTTAAAAATGAAAGATTATAACAAAAAATATCAAATAATATTTTAATAACAAATAAATATACAAGAAATTATATAAAAAAAATTTTATATAATTTTTAATATTTCTACATTAATATATATAATTATATATCCTTAATTAAAAATTAATTTAAAAAAACATTTTATTTCTTATTATTTGTGAATTTATAAATAATATATATATTTCGCGATTATTACACAAGTATATCTTTTCATATTATTACTTAAATTCTATTAACATAAAACTAAATTTCTTTTATGAAATTCTCATTTTTTATTAAAAATTATATTTAAAAATTAATTGTCATAGTTAAAAGTACTTGATGCAAACATAGAAAAAATATACTTCTACACTTGCTAGCACAAAATATTTTTAAATTATATTAAATTATAATTATGGAATTATCAAAATTCTATATTATAAATAATATATAAATAAATTATACAAAATTATTTTATTAATATAACATTTCTTCAGAGATCAATAACAAAATAAACAATGATTATAAGATATATATATATTGGTGTGATTTATAAATAGCAGTGCATGAAAATTGTATTACTTACATAAAACAATTATATGTTCTGATTTGCATTATCTCTTTTTTTCTTGATTGTCATGAATGTCATAACATTTTATAACATTCAAAATAAATTACAAATTTTATTTTATGTTTCATTACAAAGTATAATGTAAGCCATTTGTTTTAGATATCTTAAATACATAATAATGATGGTAAATTCTCATTTTAATATATCATGAATGCAAAAATGTGAAAATTTTTTGTTAAAGAATTATCATAAATGTGAAATCATACTTCCTCTTTTATTTACACATGATAGTCACACACACGCAGACGCACGCATATATTAATATCAGTCATCAGTTCTTTTAACTTTTCGTTGCCTAGGACTTTGTCTAGGAGTTCTAGGAGATTTATCTATAAAGAAACATTTTTTTAAAATTATTTAAAAAAAATATTATTTTAAACTTAATTTTTAAAATATATAGTACTTACTAATTCTATTTAATGTTCTTTTGGTAACCAATCATAATCTACATTATTAGGATTGGAAGTACCCATTTCAACAGGTGTTTTACGAGTACTAGAAGATCGAGATTTACGGCCAAGAGATGAAAGAAGTTGTTGCCCTCCTACAAGTGTTAATATTACACATGCTGCCAGAAAAACATATAAGAAAATTGTTTCTCCATCAAGACCATCATCCAATTCTATTATTTGCACAGTTTCATTATAGACAGCTTCATTGAAGCTAATACCATTCTGTGAAATTATAGATTCAGTAATTTTTTGAACAATTATGTTTGAAAATGAATATTATATTATAATATTACATACAGCATCTCTATAATTCAAATTAATATTAAAGCCGAAAGGTCTCCCAGCAAGATTTTCTGATGGAATAAACGAATATGCTAATGTTGCTTCATGTTTTGGTTTTACAATTTTGTTGTATATAACAGTTGAAAAATTTTGAATATAAAAATTAAAATTCATTGCATAACGGAAAGAAGCATCTACAGATTCAAGAACAAAATCAGATTCTCCTTTATTGGTGAAACCGACAAGAAATTCAACTAAATTTCCAGCTGGTAATTCTAAAAAATCAAATGAAATATTAATTTCCAATTTCACAAGTAAAAAAATATATTCTATGATTTCAAAAGATTTATATATATACCTAATGTTGATAATCCATTGTAAACTGGTTTAGTAAATAATATAGTTGTATCTGCATCAGATGAAGCAGTAGTTATTTCATCTTCTGGTTCTTCATCTGTTATTATAGAATTATCTTCGCCTTCAATATCTACGATATCATCTATATTTTCATCTTCTTGAGCATAAACTATAATGAAAATTAAAAACATGCATTCATAACATAATTATTTATATATAATTTATTTATAAATTATTGTTTATTTATAAACAAATACAAATTTAAACATTAATATAATCAATATAATTATAAAAAAATATTATAAAATATCATTTATATATAAATTTATTTTATTATTTATTATGAAAAATATTACTTTAATTGATATTTTAAAAAACTGTGTTAATATATTTAATATAAATTACATATAAAAGAAAAAATAAAAACGAAAAAAATATAATTTTTCCATATGTTTTTCAAATACATTACAAATATTTTAAATATAAATTGTAAAATAAATATTAATTAATATTTCATTATTGTTTATTACCTCTATTCATTGTAAAAGTAATTGTTGAAATGAAAATTAATAAAAAAATGCTAAACTTCTTCATTTCGTTGCCTTGTTTTAAAACTAACTTTTCTGTTATAAAAATCGATTTATCCCTGTTCTTGAACACTCACTTCAAAGCAACATTCAACTACGCTGCTTGAAAATAGCAGTACCGGCTACCATCTCTGCAACGTGGAAGGACAGCAACGCAATCGTCAATCCTACAACGTGGAACATTAACGTAACGTTGGCATTAAGTAAAGAATATCAAACGTCAAAAATGATTTTGTCTTACCAACATGATAAATTTAATTACTACTAATTGTTCTTTTAAAATATTATATATCTTTCTATAGTGAAAATTTAAACGCGCCACATATGAATTCTACATATATATGAAACAATAAATATAGTAGTTTAATAGTATTTATTAAAAATTGTCATTATTATTTATATATTTCAATTTATTAAATAAATATTTATTATTTATTAAATAAATATTATTTATTTAGAAGAAAAAATATAGTTGAGATAAAATATTTATTAAAAAAATAAATAAATAAAATGTAAATAAAATAATATGAAATATCAATTAAATTATATAGGATATATAATTTAAATTTATTATTAATAAAATAAATTTATTATTAATATTAACATCAAATATAAAAATATTATGAATATAATTTTAAAAATTATTATTAAAATCGTGCAAGTTTGGATGAATTTTATTTTAATTAATATTTAAATTTTAATTATAACCAAGAACAAAGCAATTTAATTTTTCCCAAGGATAATAATCATAATTATAATTTTCGAGCTATATAACGATGTATATATGACGTCATTTTTTTTTCTTACAGTAGAGAATCCTTCCAGCAACTTTGTTTAATAACCTTAAAATTACAATTTTTATAGCTTCTAGAAATTCATAATATTATTTATTATTTATCACGTCTATTATTTATTTGTATTTATTTTATCTTTACTTTAACTCAAAAAAATTTTTAATTTTTCAAGTATCCTAAAGTATGAAACAATGATGTTTAAAAGAATTTTAACATTATGTACATCAAGTGCTTCGCCTTTAACATGTAAATTATTATAATTAAATTTATAAATTTATGATTTTTTACATTCGTTTTGTAAAACAATATATTTCAAAGTATTTAATATACATTTCATTTTCACATAATTTCATGAAATCATTTAGATTAAAGAAAATACATTTTATATAGGTATTTCATCAACATCAAAGGTTATATCTCGAACTCTTTCGGAACAAGATATAGATGTTTTGGAGAAATGGGATTTATTAAGTGCTGTTTGTTTGGAACGTCATCCAATAATTACAAAACCAATGTTAGATATAGAAGCAAGATATCAAAAAATGTTACAATATATAGAATTTGAAAATAGTATGATATCTGATTTTGAAATGCAAAAACAGAAGGAAAAAAATCAAAAAATAAAATTATCTGCATCTGAGAAGACAACTTCTACTCAAACAATACAAGATTTTGAAGATTCTTGGGAAGAAGAACTTACTAAGTTTAAATTTGCATCAAGAAGTGGTATAAATTTTAATGATTTTAAATAATTTAACCATATTTCTTATATCTAATTTACTTAAATTATAGAAAATGAAGAGGACAATACCATTGTATCATTGAAACGAAAATTAGATAAAAATTTAGTATTATTAGTAGAACAAAAAATTGGTACTTCAAACTTTTGGATTCCTCCACAAAGTAAAAGAAAACATGGAGAAAGTATGATACAAGTAAGAATTATATATATTTTATTTATTTTTTGTTTTATAATATAATTATCAATGTTTATTTCAGACTGCACATAGAACATTACAAGAACTATGTGGTAATAACATAAAAGTAAAATTTTATGGCAATGCACCAATTGGATTTTATCAATATAAATATCCTAAAAATATACAGGAAAAAGGTCAAGATGGGGCAAAAATTTTCTATTTTTTAGCAAAATATATAAGTGGAGATATTTCTTCTAATGTAAGACATTGTTGGTTAGATAGGAAAGAACTTAAAAAAACTACACATCCTGATGTTTATAATAGTTTGTCTAAATTCTTATTACCTGATTAAATCATTATAAAATACAAAACCTTAGAATATATATATAAAATAGAATTATCAATTATGTATTTTTCTTTGTATAATAAATGAAATATTTAAATGATTTTTAATTTTGTAATATTGAAATCTTTTTTTTTTTATATAAATGCATTTTAAACACAATTAAAAATATAAGAAATAGAAAAATAGATAACAAATTTAATAAATAAATAAATATTTATTCTTTTGAAACAGAAATTAAAAATATATAAAAATTAGAAAAAAATATTATAATTTTCCACACCTTTTCCTTCCTGTATATTTTGAGTCTTCTCGTACTTTCTTTCCTTGTTTTCGACGTCTTTCTTTCTTTTCCATAATCCAATTTTTGCTACTTTTTAACGATTTATTTTTGGCTTTTTTTATTTGTTCTCTAAAAAAATAAGAATTAATAAGTAAGACTAAAAAAAAAAAATGTTTAAGATTTCATTTAATATAAATTAAAGAAATTTAGAACTTAACCTTCTAGATGTGTAAGATATAACAGACTCAGTATCATTAACACCTAAAGCTGATGGAAGAA